CTTTAATATATATATATATATATATATATATATATATATATATATATATATATATATATATATATATATATATATATATATATATATATATATACATATATACATATATACATATATATATATATATATATATATATATATATATATATATATATATATATATATATAAATATATATATATTTATATATATGTACATATATAAGTATACACACATATATATATATATATATATATGTATATACATACATACATACATATATAACATACATATATATATATATATATATATATATATATATATATATATATATATATATATATATATATATATATATATATATATATAATTATATTAAGACTTTGTATTTATATGTGTTCGGATGTTGAAAGGCGGTATAGGGTAGCATTATGTCTATCAATATTCCTTGAATTACTACAGCATGCTCATCCAATCAGACTAATTACGAAATAGCTAGAATACTCTCAACATATTATCAGCACACCTTTAAGTAATTCAGGTAAATTTTAAACTTTTTTTTCAGCAGACCTGAACTGTAACAAAATAATTAATACATTCGACTTATTGATGGGAAATATGATATGGATTTGCTCTATAATAAAATCCTAGTTCATATATATATATATATATATATATATATATATATATATATATATATATATATATATATATATATAATATATATGTATATATATATATATATATATATATATATATATATATATATATATATATAATACATTAATGAGAAAGCCCATAATTACACTAGGAAACTAAAACCACAATGTATTAAACTTGGCTAAAATTTAAAAAAAGATTGTTAAGAAAATATATTGTATATTGATTTTAAAAACAGACGTCTTAATTACTTACTCATTATACGAAGTATAGAGAAAGTCTTTTAATCGTGAAAAAAAAATCGAGATTTCTGCAAATCTCGACGTTTTACACCTCCCTGAGTCGGAAAAACATAGTTTTGCAATCTTGTCCGTATGTCTGTGTGTGTATGTGTGTGTATGTATGTATATCTGTGTGTGTGTCTGTAAACACGATAACTTGAGTACCGTTACAGGTAGGTTGATGAAATTTCATATAAACGTATTATATCAAAATCGTAGATCCATATAATTTTTTTAGCGATTTCCGATAACCGGAAGTGGAACTTTTTCTACTTTCAATATTTCAGAAGTTTATAACTTAAGTACTATTTCAGATAGATAAATGAAATTTCACAGGTAAGTAGCAGATCTAATTCTCTGCCTTTTTTTTTAAAATGAGTTATTTCCGTTGACCGGAAGTAGTAATTTACGCTATTTCCAATTTCTAAAAAAAAAGACGCATGTGAATTGATAAAGTACAAATCATATTCCGCACAATTATACGTATTTTGTTTTGCATTCACTTGTTGTGCAATCCTTTTTTCTACGAGATTTTACTATATTTTAAAAAAGATTAAGTAATTAAAAAACGAATTAAAAATCATGTATATATTCCGAGTTGCCATCCCCTGGTGTTTTATATAAGAATATTCGAGAAAGTTTAGCGGAGATCACTCCCGGTTTATTTTTATTTCATGCGTATCTATATTCAATAGAATGTCAATTTTTAATTTTAAAAGGAAAGTTTTTACAGATCAGTTAGTCGATTTAAACATTGAGGTTTCGCCTATCTAATAAAACTATTTAAGAGGGTTATGATTTCAATGTGAAAGGTATAGGCTGCCTTGAGGAAAATTACATTTCAAAACGTTTGAGTGGTTAGTAAGAACGAGAAAGTTTTTAGACAAATTATTAGAGAAAGAGAGAAGAGAGAGAGAGGGAGAGAGAAAGAGAGAGTGAGTGAGAGAAGGAGAGAGAGGATACAAACAATTTAACCTCGTAACCAGTTTAACCAAATTTAACCAGTTTTGATATGTGTCATAACTGTTGGATAATTATTAAATAAAAATGCGAATCAGATACTTGTTTTATATGAATACAAATACGTTGCTCAATGTATAAAAGAAGTAGTTCATAATTTAAAAATATATATATATATATATATATATATATATATATATATATATATATATATATATATATATATATATATATATATATATATATATATATATATATATATATATATATATACATAACCAATAATTGTGGTCAAGAAAGAGTAGCACATATGTAAACAATTCTAATTGTTTTGACTGAATTATTTTCACACACGTTTTTACTCATAAGAACAAACAGAAAAGAAAATTAAACTCCCACTAATGAATAAAATGACCAATGGTTTGGTTCTACGTATACTAATGATTCGTGTTTCGGTCACTTCCTTTATCATTTGTACTTTTCATGCTAAATATAGGTCACTGTTTCAAATATTTAGTAGTGACCGTTGGCTGACGTCACATATCTTGGTTGGAGGCTGTGATAAGAGGGATGCAATGTGTTAGGTGGGGTAGTGGGAGGGGGGGGGGGAGAGAAATCTGAAGAAACAGATAATGTGTATTTTAATCACTAATGAAATTAAAAAAAAATGTTTGATTTTTGTTCGAAATTTTGTCATTTGATTTATTGCTTGGTGGGAAAGTGGGAAAAAATGGAGGGGGGGGGGGAGATTAATGTTTATTTGTCATTTGATTGGAGTGTTAATTTTTGTGACGTCATGAAAAATATTGGTTATGCTTGGGAGATAACATTGGCAGGATATCCTAAGATACAAAAATACACACGCTCAAATACCTCACGCCTCACACACACACAATACACACACTAATCCATCTCACACACAAAATAAACAAATTACACACACTCATCCATCTCACACACAAAATACTCACACTCATTCATCTCACACACAAAATACACACACTCATTCATCTCACACACAAAATACACACACTCATACACCTCACACAAAAAATACACACACTCATCCATCTCACACACAAAATACACACACTCATACATCTCACACACAAAATACACACACTCATACACCTCACACACAAAATACACACGCTCATCCATCTCACACACAAAATACACACGCTAATACACCGCACACACAAAATACACACATTAATTCATCTCACACACAAAATACACACACTCATACACCTCACACAAAAAAAACATACACCCAATCAACTCACACACAAAATACTCACACTCATTCATCTCATACAAAATACACACACTCACACACCTCACACAAAAAATACACATGCTCATCCATCTCACACACAAAATACACACATTTATTCATCTCACACACAAAATATACACATTCATACACCTCACACACAAAATACACACCAACCACAAATGAAAAACCCACACACTGTTATCCTACTCACGAATGTGCTTACTCATCTCCCTAACACACAAAACCACAGACACACACGTTTACCCATCACTCAACTCACACACACATGCACTCACTTATAATACAAGAAAATTCACTTCTCAATTTTATACAAGACTCACTCATCCAAAACACATAGTACACAATACACAAATACAACTGAACAATATACATAGACACTCATCTATCACACATAACACACAAACACACAAACAACACATGCACTTACATACATATCCAATACACAAAAAACAATTACACATCTATCAAATGCACATCATCCATCACATACACACACGCTACAACATCTTTCTAATGATCCAGATTATCACTTCCTTTAAACTAAGATCGATAAACATCGAAAATCTATACCTGATCACCACTCAATACAGTCAATACGCTGATCGGTCAACTGTGACATTCACTCACACACCCGCACACTCACCTCACACTTCAGCACGTGCATACAACACACCTATCGAACCTAGGCAACACACACGTGCGAAGGATGAAGTGCTCACGTTTGTGTAATCATGCATATCCCAGCACACACGAAAATAGGCCGCCGTGTCACGGTTAGATGTGTAGCTGTATCAGGTACACACAACACACCTCGCTTCTTCGTAGGTGCCTATATTAAATCGATGATTTTTTTTTCTATTCAATTGTTTCAATAAAGCTTTTGAATTCTTTCTCCTTACTCGTAAGAGGAAGTGACAAGTGCATTTGAAAAAGTAAACAAAAGCCCCTTGTCGATTTGATGTGGCGTAACCGCTTTTGATTACCACGATGCGGTATAAATGATTTTAGTAGGTATGAAAACTACATACATTTTTTATGTTGTCGAAGAATATTCAATTAACATTTTAAAAAAATAGTGTCTGCTGTAGACGCTATATATATGAAATGTAAATATTACCGAATAGTTGGTGTTTTCACTGACCACTAAATGGTTACATCAATTTACCATGTAATTAAAAATGAAATGAATGAAAACATTGTGTATTATGTAAACAAAACAGTAATTATTTTCATGTCTCTCGATCAATAAGCACACGTGTCAAACTGTAAACAATGTGTGTAATCAAACACATGTATGTATAAATGCATTATAAAAAGGTGACAAGCAATTAATTAAAACACAATATTAATGAAGGAAATCAAACAAGTATCAAATGTACACACAATTCTAAAGCGATATTAGTTTACAAAAACGTAACGCCAAAAACGAACAAACACAACAAACAAAAGCTTACACAACACAAATAACACATAATTTAGGTATCAACACGTTGCACATTATCATTACACACTAAACTAGCACAACATAATTACACACTGAACAACTTTAAACTACACTATACACACACAAACAACACACCTTAAGCTACACACAATAAACCTTACAACTACACACAGCAGAATTTAAAACTACACAGAACACACATTACAACTTCACACAACAAACCTTAAAACTACACACAATACACCTTAGAGCTACACACAACACACTTTATAACTACACAGAACACACAGGACAACTTAAAACTACACAGAACACATTAAAACTACACACAATACACCTTAGAGCTACACACAACACACAACAACAACAAACCTTACCTCTAGTTCCCATAGCACCAGAATTCTTCCAGAAACATCCCAGTCCTGTGTCTTGTTTTCATAGTGATGAAACTTTAAGTCACTAACTCCCCATTTTACCGCGCTGAACACAAATCTTTAAGGCTGCGACACTCAAATATTTTATGTTTTAGATCACAACCTTACCGTGGAAAATATACACGAGTTTATAGAACCACACGTTAACCTAGAACACACGGAATCCCTAAAGTTAGTGCTTTCAAAAATTTATAAAAATAAATTAAAATAACGTTCACCTCTAAATAATAAAACAACTATTCTAACACTTTACATATTTCTTTTTAAATACGCTATCTTTTAAAACGCAAACGCGATTTTTTTCTTCTTCTCTCTCTCTCCTGTTAAAATTCCAGAAAAAAACTCCAATTGTTGCGACACTGGAAGAAAGAGAAACACCGAAATAGCTTGAGTCGAGAGTACGGTGTAGGGGAGAAAAGCGAGTGAGCGAAACGCTGTGAGTTAGCCGACGCCATCAAAAACATGGCGGCCACAAGCGAACACAGCCGCTTTTTTTCTCCCGGGCTCCTGGCCAAGGGGACGTAACTCACGTTATTTTCGTGGGTAAATATTTGAGATAGTTAACAGTCAATAAAAGTCTTGTCATAATTAGATGTAAAAAACATGGTAGTGGGGTTGGGTTGGTTACTTTGTTTCTATAACTTTGACAAAAGATGACTGGCAAGGTATATGAAAGCAGGATGATATCTTTTGACGATTGTTCCATGAATTAGTATCTTAACAGTTAGTATCTAATGTGAACGTACTTTATACAATTAGAAAAATGTTGGTTTAGTCTGGCATTTTATTTTTATTTAGAATATTTCTTGGTAGAAAAGACTGTACTATAAATATGCATATGTTTCTATTTATTTTTATTTAAGTGCGATATTATTTAGTTAAAGAAAAATCAATTATTGTGTACCTTTTAGTGCATTATTATATAAAATACTGATACTAAAACATTTTTACTTTCTCGTATATAGAGTATAAGGAAATTAGTTTAGTCGTGCAGAAAAATTAAATACAATTTTTATAGTTTTCGACGGTTCACGAATTACACCACCCCAATGTATCTTATACGGAATATAAAAGATGCTAAAAATCTGAATTGAGATGAGACAAGTTTTCATGTTCATCCAGAAAAAATTTGTTTTGCAGTTTTATCCGTGTGTATCTGTGAACACGTTAACCGGAATACCGTTTCAATTATGTTGATGAAATTTCATATGTAGCTATTATATCAAAGATGTAGTTCTGTATTAAAGTTATAGCGATTTCTGATAACCGGATTCTGCTTCCGGTTACTCAAAAGACAACTTGAGTACCGTTTAAGTTAGATGGACGAAATTTTACATAAAATATTACATTGTATGCGCATGTTTTTTTGTTAAATTTGTAACGATTTCCGGTAAACGAAAATGGTACTTTACTCTTTTTCCGTGGGAACACACAAACTTGAGGATTGTTTCAGTTACGTAGACGAAATTTTATATATAAGACCCTATACTTATATCTCTTTCAAATAGTGACTTCCAAATACCCAAAAGTGGTACTTTATTTATCCCTGGTTTATAAAAATACTAAAATGCCACATAATACCAAATAAATAAAATACAAAATAACTGTTTCAGCTAGATAGACGGAATTTTCCGCTTAAGTATATTATCTTATTCTGTTTTCTTTCAAATTTCGAGTGACTTCTGGTGACTAGAAGTAGTACTTAGCGCTATTTCCGATTTCTCAACAAAGGTAATCAATATTCCCTTTATAAAGTACTAACTTTCTGCTCTATTATACTCACAATTTTTGCGCTCAATAGTTTCATTTTGTAGCATCGATTGTTACATAAGCGTAATTTTAATAACCTCGGATATTTTTGGTTATGTAAGAGGAAACAAATAACTTGCTTACATGCTCTCAACCGTAAGAGGGTGTAAGGACGATGTTTGCTTCCTAGACTGCCGTTAGAGGATCGCACATTTTCTCCACTGTGTATTGCGGCAGGCACTACAATTAGCGGCTTGTACAGGGGTCGGCAACATTTTAAGACGGAAGATCCAAAAGTTACAATCTAACAATTTTTTCCAATTTTTAAAGAACCACTAACATTGTATGTGCACTTCGGTAGTGGATAGCATGGAACCATTGCCACGGGGCTGGCCACAGCACAGTTGTGGGGCTGGCCACAGCACAGTTGTGGGGCTGGCCACAGCACAGTTGTGGGGCTGGCCACATCACAGTTGTGGGACTGACCACAGCACAGTTGTTGTGCTGACCACAGCACAGTTGTGGGGCTGGCCACAGCACAATTGTGGACAGCACAGTTGTGGGGCTGGCCACAGCACAGTTGTGGGGCTGACCACAGCACAGTTGTGGGGCTGACCACAGCACAGTTGTGGGGCTGACCACAGCACAGTTGTGGGGCTGACCACAGCACAATTGTGGGGCTGGCCACAGCACAATTGTGGGGCTGGCCACAGCACAGTTGTGGGGCTGACCACAGCACAGTTGTGGGGATGACCACAGCACAGTTGTGGGGATGACCACAGCACAGTTGTGGGGATGACCACAGCACAGTTGTGGGGCTGACCACAGCACAGTTGTGGGGCTGGCCACAGCACAGTTGTGGGGCTGGCCACAGCACAGTTGTGGGGCTGACCACAGCACAGTTGTGGGGCTGACCACAGCACAGTTGTGTACTGGCCACAGCACAGTTGTGGGGCTGGCCACAGCACAGTTGTGGGGCTGACCACAGCACAGTTGTGTACTGGCCACAGCACAGTTGTGGGGCTGACCACAGCACAGTTGTGGGGCTGGCCACAGCACAGTTGTGGACAGCACAGTTGTGGGGCTGGCCACAGCACAGTTGTGGGGCTGGCCACAGCACAGTTGTGGGGCTGGCCACAGCACAGTTGTGGACAGCACAGTTGTGGGGCTGACCACAGCACAGTTGTGTACTGACCACAGCACAGTTGTGGGGCTGGCCACAGCACAGTTGTGGGGCTGGCCACAGCACAGTTGTGGACAGCACAGTTGTGGGGCTGACCACAGCACAGTTGTGTACTGACCACAGCACAGTTGTGGGGCTGACCACAGCACAGTTGTGGGGATGACCACAGCACAGTTGTGGGGCTGACCACAGCACAGTTGTGGGGCTGACCACAGCACAGTTGTGGGGCTGACCACAGCACAGTTGTGGGGCTGACCACAGCACAGTTGTGGGGCTGACCACAGCACAGTTGTGGGGCTGACCACAGCACAGTTGTGGACAGCACAGTTGTGGGGCTGACCACAGCACAGTTGTGGGGCTGACCACAGCACAGTTGTGGGGCTGACCACAGCACAGTTGTGGGGCTGGCCACATCACAGTTGTGGGGCTGACCACAGCACAGTTGTGGGGCTGACCACAGCACAGTTGTGGGGCTGACCACAGCACAGTTGTGGGGCTGACCACAGCACAGTTGTGGACAGCACAGTTGTGGGGCTGACCACAGCACAGTTGTGGGGCTGACCACAGCACAGTTGTGGGGCTGACCACAGCACAGTTGTGGGGCTGACCACAGCACAGTTGTGGGGCTGACCACAGCACAGTTGTGTACTGGCCACAGCACAGTTGTGCGGCTGACCACAGCACAGTTGTGGGGCTGACCACAGCACAGTTGTGGGGCTGGCCACATCACAGTTGTGGGGCTGACCACAGCACAGTTGTGGGGCTGGCCACATCACAGTTGTGGGGCTGGCCACATCACAGTTGTGGGGCTGGCCACAGCACAGTTGTGGGGCTGGCCACAGCACAGTTGTGGGGCCTAACGCCCAGGTTATGTCAGATGCCCTAATACGTTCTACTACATCTGTTCTCGTTGTTTTTTACTTTGTTCAAAATTGTTTTTGTTTTTAACAGTATATTTTTTTGAGTTTTTGAAATAAAATATTATAATTATTATGGAACTGGAGAGCAGCATATTGACATCAAAATAGCCACATGCGGCTCGCGAGCCGCTGGTTGCAGACCCCTGGGTCAGGGGTCGGCAACCTTTTGAGACGGAAGAGCCAAAAGTTACAATTTTCAAAATTTCCCAGCTTTTAAAGAGCCACTAACATTTTTATTTTAATATTATGATCTTTGATTAGGATTACATATATATATATATATATATATATATATATATATATATATATATATATATATATATATATATATCAATGTATGTAATTGTAGTATGTAAGTGTGTGTGTGTCTGTTTGTCTTTTATTCGATACTACACCTTTCATCCGATTGCCATGAAACTTTAGGAAGCTGTTGAGAATACTCATGGGGAGATATTTGCGAAAATAAAATGTCAAATTCGCAAATAGAATAGCGAGTGTTTATTGTTTATATTTATTAAATCGTTCATTACCGAGTGTTCCAGACTAATATTTTTATTAGTTTCAAGAAGAAAATAAAATAATTATTAATATTTGTCCATTGAACTGAAGAGCCGCTCCTCGACATCAAAAGAGCCGCATGCGGCTCGCGAGCCGCAAGTTGCCGACCCCTGCCCTGGGTTAATCAAATATTTAAATTGCCCTTCTTTTGAGGGATCCAAAATTAAATATAAATAAAATAAATTAAAAACGGATAATTAATGGCGGACGAAATCCTATCTCACAAAACAAGCTCTATTAAGATACTAAAGTTAAAGAATACAGAATGCCAATTGGTATGTGCTTGCCATTTCGTTATTCTTAATATTTCGAAAATAATCGAAGTTAATATAATATATGTAATATAAATAAGGAGTAAAATATAACAATAATCTTAAGGATTGTATTCCGAAACTACGAGATTTATTGTATTCATATAATTATAGTTAACTCCCTTAGAGAACAATTTAAGTTTACATATGGGAGGTAATTAACTCACCCAAACACAAAAATAACTGCCTGTAAAAATAATTCCGTTATATTAATACACAGGTGAAGACGTTTTAAATTTCTCTTAAAATAGAACATTGTAATATTGTGTCTGTGTGTTAATCAACATACTTTTTATCAATTGACTGTGTTAATAACTAGACATTGTCAATAAAAAGAAATAAATAGATAAATATATTTGTATGTATGTATATGTGTGTATATGTATGTTTATATGTATGTGTATTAGTATGTCTATAGAGGTGTATATATGTATGTATATATATAAATGTATATATATAAATGTATATATATATATATATATATATATATATATATATATATATATACATATATATATATATATATATGTATATATATATATATATATATATATATATATATATATATATATATGTGTGTGTGTGTATGTATGTGTATCGGTGTAAGTATGTACGTATGTAAGTATGTATGTATGTAAATACATATATACATATATACATACATACATAC